AAAAAAAAAAAAAGAATATATGCAGTGTGTTATTTGTTGAAACTGTACTTCCGATTTGATTTTAAACTGTCTCATTGCTGTTTATCAATAAAATTTTGAAGAAGAAAAATAAAGCAACTCTGATAAACAAAAAAAAAAAGAAAAGAAACTAGAATTCAAAGGAAGAATTGGAGTTAACAGAGCTGGGGAAATAGCTCAGCAGTGTAAGTGCCTGCGCCTGGCAAGTGCAAGGACCCAGCTCAATCCCCAGTACTGCAAGCCAAGGCGGCCACTGAAACTGGGTGTGGTGGCACACGCTTGTAATCCTAGCACTGGGGAGGCTGAGATAGGAGGATCACTAGGAGTCCAGGCCATATAGTGAGACCCTGTACCAAATACATAAACAAATAAAAGATTTGTTTAAAAAATAATATATATATAAGCATATACATAAAACAGAAACCTTTTACACTGGTTACACTTAACCTGCACAACAGCATCTTGGGACATCACATACTTTAAGCTGTATTTATCTTTATCAGTCTCTAAGACTTTATTACTTGTATTGTTTGGAATTATGTGTTTTCCAATGAGCTTAAGTCATTTTCCATGAAATTATCTGAAATCATCTTTGAAGTTGTTGCCTTTTTCATTAACTTACCAAACAGCTTTAATACTCCATTTAGAAGTGACACAGGACATGGTAAGTTTAAAGAGAATTCAGCAACACAGAGAGCATTTTTTATTTTTCTTTCACACACTGAAATGTCTATTTTGGGAAAAATCTTTTCTTGTTTCTGGTTTTCTTGTCTCCTTTCAGAGAAACTTCTTTTGGCAGGCTTATTTTAAAGATTAAACTGTTTTCAAGCAAGTCTATAGTTTTATACTTCTCTGTGATTAGATGTATATATTGTTAATACCTTAGACATTCTGAATTCTATTCCATTATTACACAAATTATAAGCTTAGGAGTACCATCAGAAGATTCTCCATAAAGGTCCAAAGAATGGGATGTTTTCCACAACTCTTTCTCTTCCTCCTCATGTGAACTCAGGCCCCTGCGCTTGCCAGAGAAGCACTTACTCTACTGGGCCATCTCCCCGGCCCGCATAATAACTCATGGCCAAGACATTTATGGTGCTCTCTTCTTTTCATACAGCTCCTAATGCATTACTCAAGAGTATATCCATGAATGCTAGCTATCGTTCACGAGTATGCTGTCAATTCTAACCATTCATGGTATCTTCAGGAAAACTAGACTTGTTTTAAATTGTTTTTATTTTTAAATCTTTAATACCTTCCTACATTTATCTTTCATTGCCTCTTTCTCCTCCTCCAATCGATCTTTTTTCACCATTTATTTATTGTAGAAACAAAATCTTTTGTCCTGAAATTGCCGGTATAGACTCTAATGACTGAATTCAGGTGCTGCCATTAAAAATTTCATGTGCTGTCTTGTTTTTCTTCTTTCAATTTTTCTCTGTTTCTCTCTTTTTTAAAAAAAATGTATTTAGTACAGGGTCTACAGGGTCTCACTACGTAGCTGGGACTCGTAGTGATTGTTTTCAGCCTCCCAAGCACGGGGATTACAGGCAAGCACCACCACATCCAGTGTCAATCGCCTTGGCAGAGCGCCCCAGGGGCAGGGCCGGCATGGCTCTCTGGAGATTGAACCCTGGCTGCTGCGCTCTGCCTAAGCAGGTCTCCCTTACTTTCTTATAACTTTTTTTCTTTCTTTCTTTTTCCAATTTTGCATGCATATATCTAGTAATCTGCACAACAAATCTGAAGACAACACTATGCAATACAACAAATACTGCTGAATTCATATTATTTTGTTTAGTGAAATTCTGTATCATTTTTAATTTTTATTTTTTATTACTATTTTGTATTCTCTTTAAAAAGTAGAAAATTTTTAAATTTTTAAAATAGAAAATATATTTCATGTGCTTAGCTTTAAGCAGCCAAATACAAACACACATTTATGTATTTATACTAAGTACCGCTATTGGCTAGTGTTATTGCCTGAGATCGATGCTTACGGTGTTCTTCTAGTCATTCCAGCTGTCTGATTTGTTGTTTGGCAAACAGCTAATGTGAACAATATGCCCTGTATTCTTTTATGCCACAGATAATTTCTTTGTTTTTTTGTACTTGAAAATTGATTCAGCTAGATATAAAATCCTTGACTTCTTGAGCATCTTAGATTTAAACATCTTAGATTTTCACAGTTAAATTCTGGTGGTAAGAGGACTTCTTTTGTATAAAGTTTCATATCCTATTTAAAAATAAAAAAAGTTGTCTTTAACTACATTTGGGATTGTCTTACCCATATTTGATATATGTTAACTACCTTGTAAACTCTTTTCTTCTATTTCTTTTTTAAATTATCCTCTTTTCGAGCATCTATTTCATTTTCTTCCCCTTTGGGACAGCGTCTCCCCGAGCAGCTCAGCTCACGCTGGCCTCGAGCTCACTGTGGTCTTGCCTTTGCCCCGGGTGCTGCGATCACAGGCAAAGCCACCACACCTGCTCCAATTCTAAAGCATTCTCTCTTGCATTTGTGTTAATTATGCATTTTAATACTCATTTCTGAAATACTTTTATTTCTAATGCATTCTTGAATTTTTTCACCTCATTTCTGAGATTTTTATAACTCTGACATAAAATTCTGTCATCTATTGTATCTTTCAATATAACTTGTGGCTGGTTTTGAAGCATGAGGTTGGCGTTCTCATCTATGCGGCAGACACCCAATCCTGGCACTGCCTGTGGTAGGAGGCTTCTTTTTACTCTGCTCTTATAATAATTTAATAATTTTGTATGGATTTTGACCTTAATTCTATTCTTTTGCATATTTTTAGTAAAATTAATTTTCCTAGACTTTACAATGTTTTAGAATGATATTTAAACTTCGTATCTCTAGGACATCCTCTTCTTTAAAGCAATTTTTCTTTTTGGTGAGATGTCCAAAATATCACAGCTTAGAGACACCCTATGGCTTTCATCTCCTCCCATTCCATTCTTTTTCGGGGCGGGGGGCACATCTTCTTCTTTGGTTTCTACTTATTGATCGTGACTGTTCCATTTGGATTCTGTTCCAAGGCGCTTCTCCTCTGCGTACACGGTGATCTGGGGGAGCGCTGATGGGCCACCATCCGGAGCAGGTACGGGGCCCAGACTGCTCTATCCCTTCTGGTTCTGTGGAGCCCTGCACTTACCTGTGATTCTGGTCTGCCCTGCTTTTCCAGTCTCAGCTGCAACAACCACACTGGCTTACTAGGCCTTATAACAAATACCATTTTGGATTTAGCAGGTTTATCAGATGGCCCATTGCTTTTTAGTGAAATCCCACCCCAGAATAAATGCAGATACTAGACAGATTTTTGAGATTAGTTAAGGTCTACTCCCATTTATTCATAGTTTCTGGCTTGTAGGGGATACTTCATTGTTCTAGTTGTATTATAAGTTTAGATACTGTTTCTTTTTCATTTTTCCCTTTTTAAAAAAAACCTATACTGACAATGATATCTCCTGGCACTCTCATAAATGAGTGTGTTAATCAAAAGATTTTCATCTAATTTTGAACAAAAATAAACATAGAGCTGTGCTAATTTAACATGTCCCAGCTGACACAGACATGGATTTCTTCACTGAAAATGTCTTCCTAAAAACAAGTAAGCAAACTAAAAAATGAACGTAGCTCCCTTAAAGCAAGTGACTGTGATACATATTCTGGTACAAGCTCCTTATCTTCTTAGGAATCAGTCACCAACAGTTTATGAACTACCAGCATACACTGACTTGCTTACATGATTAAGGAGAATTTAGCACAAATTTATGGAACAAATAGTCAATATAAAAGTAGTTCCCGGAGCTGGGGTTACAGCTCAGTAGCAGAACGTTTATCCAGCATGTATTAAGGCCCTAGGCTAGAGCCCCAGCAATGCAAAAAGAGAAGAAGCAAGAAGCAAGGAGAGGAAAGGAAGGGACGGGAAAGAGTAGGAAGGAGCTGAGGGGAGAGGAAGAGGAAAAGAGAAAAAGTAATCTCTTAAAGATGCCACATAAAAAAAAAAGATGCCACATTATGGGTAGCAGAAAAGGAGCAAATACTGTCATGCTTAGGATTAGGGTTTTTTTTTTTTTTGAGGAACAAGGGAATGAACTCAGGCCCTTGCACTTGCCAGGGAAGCATTTATTCTACTAAGCCATCTCCCCGGCCCCAGAATTGAAAAGTTCTTTTTTTTTTTTTTTTTTTGCAGTACTGGGGATTGATCCCAGGAGCTTGTGTTTGCCAGGCAAGCACTTATTCTACTGAGCTATCTCCTTGGAAAATGATTAGTTTTTTTAAAAATATTCAACATTAGCTTTATAACAAATGCTATGGTTCAGTCAGTCTAGTGGCATATAGAGAAACATGTAAATTTCAATAACTCAAACTTTCATTCTGAGTGATAACCTGTTTGGATACAGGAGATAATTATCATCATGTGCACCCCAGGAATTCCAAAACCATTTCCACTTCACAGTTTAACTAGGTAAAATAGTTTCCTTTTTTCAAAACAAGTAGAGCATCATAAATGCAATATTCTAAAACTAACAACTAATTTTAAAGTTGAACTGATTAACTAAATTTAGATGGTATTTACAATGCCAGATATTTTGCTTTTATTAGAATGGGTTCCAAAAGTTTTCCTTTGATTCTATTAAATGGGTGAAAAAAATCAAAGCATTATTGAAATGAACCCACTTGCTACTTGAAGTATCTGAGGGCACTGATATTACTGATCCGTGAGGTTAAGATTCTGCCAGTTGAGTGACCATATTAAAAGTCATGGCTTTATAGGGGGTTTCAGTGGTGGCAGTACTGGGTATGGAGCCCAGAGCCTCTCATATGCTAAAGTAAATGCTCTAGCCCTGAGTTACATCCCAGAGCTTTTTAATTTTGTTTAAAGATGGTCTTGCTAATTTGCCTCAGGTGGGCCCAGACTTAAAATGGGATTATATGTATGTGTCACTATACCCAGCTGGCTTTATGTCTTTATATAAACAAGAAAACCTGGTATTAAGATGAATTAATTAATTCAGAAGAATTTAGGAGATAAATGGAAACTAAAACTTAACAGTGATTATGAAAATATACCTTCTGCAGCTGAGCCTATTAAAATGTAATTTTCAGACAGTTTTCTTCAATTACTACTTAACTTGGGGAGTACATCTCTTCTCCCCCCTTTCTTGCTCCTTCTTCCTCCTCTTGCCTCCCTCTCTTTTTTCTGAGATGAGGTGTTGCTGGGCTGGGCTTGAATTCATGATCCTCTGGCTTTCTTAGCAGCTACAATTACAGGTAGGCGCCAGCAGGCCCAGCAATGGGTTTCTATTGTGGTTTTACAAAACTTTTTGATGTATTAGTATATGTGTAGTACATAATGCTCACTTGCATTCTGGGGCATTGGCATATACACGCAGCACATCCAAACTCCTTTTTCTATCCTTTTCCCACCTCCCCCCATTTCTTGATTCCCTTCCTTTTTGGGGTCCAACTTGCACTGGATAATATTTTCAGTGATGTCAGTTCAGTGTCCATGGTAGATGGCAAACATTAATAGATTTTTTTCTTTATAAGTGATTTTATTTTATTTTTTATAAGTGATTTTAACAGCCATATCCAGAACCCATAGGCACTTCAACCAATTGATGAATTTGACCAATTCAAACGTTTTAGCTTCAATGTTGTTCCATTTTAGGAATGTCCATAGGTTTCCAAAGCAAAGCAACCATGAGGCTTTTTATGATTCAGATCTACAGCGGCCCCCAAAACTTTCATGTGCAGAGGTGTGGGCTGCTAGGAGGGGGAAATCGTTGCAGCCACGCATGGGAGATTGTTCTCTTGCCTCACACCCTAATAGATGTTTTAAACAAGTTACACATATAGGATTTTCTTAAGGGAAAGAAAATCAGTATTTAATTTTGTACCAAAGATACATTTTTCGTGAAGGAAGCAAGACAAGGATTTTAAGAAAACTGCAATAAAGAAACCTGGATGCTAGTAGCATTTTGTCTACTTGTTTTATTAAAGGTAACATTTGATATCATTCATCTCTAACTTCCCTTGTCTCCTTAGGGATAATGTTTATAAATCTGCTCTTTGTCCTATTGTAGCTACACAATTTATCAAACTATTAGATCTTATTTATCTTTGGGGAGGCATAGCTTGTTTTTCAAATATAAAATCCCTAAAATGTCCAATTTAATCTACCTCTTTTGCAAAGTTTGTATGCTATGAAAATAAATATTCAATCAGTTATTATTATGTACATTAGAATACATATGAAACAAGTTATTTCACTCAGAAATATTGAAATAGTATCTTTGACCTCAAAATTAATATTTTTCTCAGTAAATCTTTACGCTTTAAGTTTGTTTGCCTATAGCTGATTGGATAAATGACCATTCCAATTCAGTTAGGTTATTCAATATGTAACAAATTTTACTTGCTGGCATTTATGTAATTATTTCCTTCTTAATTCTATTGATGTTCTTCTAATATACTCATGGTCTAAATTTTACTTCTATCTCCTCATTTCTCATAGAGTCTATTCAGCCTTATCACTGTGTGAAATGGTTTTCTTATCAAATATTTCAATGCAATGTCCTTGAATCATTGTTGGAGCTTTAAAAATTCTACTTATCTGTCATAAATTGTCAACTCACATTAATTAAAAGAATTAAATGAAACAATCTGAAGAGAAATGGCATAGTGAATGACAACTAATTTCCAAAGGATGTAATACAAAGAATTTTACATTAAAGTTCTAGCATGATATTGTAAAAAAAAAAAAAAAAAAAAAAAACAAAGATACATTTTTGTTTCTTTAAAATGGAAAATACCAGGCTTAGTAAACAATACAATAAATAGTTACAGGTTTTTACCATGGAATCACAGGGAAAACCACTGTAGCAAGTTTTCAGAATTTTCTCTGTATTCCCTATGAAAATACACCTTAGCCTACTTCTCAATATTTCACAAGATATAATATGTAATTTCCCACATTTCCTACAGGTTCAACCAACTACAACTGATCACTGGGCCAAAGGGCTGGCTACAGTGGAAACGCTGAATACTTTTCCCACAGAACACGGCCCAGAGGAATCAGTTATACCTTGCTTCTCGTGTCTGCATACATTTTTAAGCAACTGCCCCACAGCTGTCTTTGACTCGGTTTTGAGTTGAGCCTCAAAAAAAATCAGGAAAAAGAAAAGCATTTCTGTCAGTCTTTTTTAAATTTAATTGCATGATAAGGTGAGAATTTTGTTCACTGATTTTCCTTATGACTATAATTTGAGAGTATGGTGGAAGCTGGAAGTAAAGGTGAGTTTATGAAAGGTATCCTAACTTTATGTAAATAATAATCTCATTATAAAATAAAAATACTGAGACAAATGCTAAATACATCAAACTTAATAGACTGTCTTAATTACAACACATTCCAGCCCTTAAACCCCTCTGCATCTGAACAAGGAGAATATTTGTTGATTTAACAATGAATATATTTGGCAACAGTTTGCAGTTTTGACATGTATAATTGAAATGTACAGTCTAGACTTTTTATAAAACTTCTACACAATTAATCCGGAAAAAGATTGTAGTGCATTTCACAAAGAAAACGTGATAATATAAGTTGGATAAACTTACTATCTCCTTTCAACAGGTTCAATGTCAAGGGTGTTAACTCCACTGCTATGGATTCTTTCAATATCTCTGTCTTTGTTTAATTCCAGTCCCAAGACCCTTTCAAAATTAAAAGAGAAAAAAGCAAGATAAAGCTTGACAATAACAAAATAATTTAGAATGAACAAATTCTTCACCAAGATAGAATATAGCACGAAAATCACAGGCAATGCTTACGTTTTCTACTATACATTTATAAATATTTATAGATTCGTAAGGGTTGTACAACTTTTAAAATATTAACAGTTCTATGTATACATTTTCACTTGAAGTATTATCTTGAATTTCATTTAAAGCATTTGTTAAGTTCTTAAAAAGAGAAACTAAAACTGTTCTGGAAGTTTAATTCTAAAAACTAAGCGGAGGACACCTAGTGGACAAAGCCTAAATTACAGTTTTTTAAATGCCCTTTTTTTACCCCATCTTTTTATAAAATTTTTATTTTTATTAGTTCATATTTCCAGCACATAATGATTACAGTCATTATAGGGAACTGGTACATGGGTTTTTTTTTTTGCGGGATCAGGGATTAAACTCAGGCTCTTGCACTTGCTAGGGAAGTGCTTACCCCGCTGAGCCATCTCCCTGGCCCCCATACAATCCAAGTCAATTCTTTACCTCTTTCATTAAACTCCCCTTTTCTCCAACATCAGATTCATTAAATTCATTAGCTTAAAATTTCTTATAAAGTTAATTACCAGACATACAGAACAACTGCTAGACTAATGGGCCAGGATACAGTTCAGCAGCGTAAGTGCCTGCCTGGCAAGTGCAAGGCTCCCAGTTCAGTCCCTGGTACACACACACACACTCTCTCTCTCTCTCTCTCTCTCTCTCTCGCTCGCTCGCTCGCTCTCTCTCTCTCTCTCGCTCGCTCTCTCTCTCTCTCTCTCACACACACACACACACACACACACACACAAATTCCTTTTCTTAAGTAGGACTATCTATTTAGAATCGTTCAACAATCAAGCATATTTAAATAAAGCCATTTCATCTCTGTATCACACCTTCTATCTCAACAAGGTGAGATCAAAACTCTTTGCGTCTTATCAGCCTTCTCACTTCTGACCTGAAGCTGGGGCCAAAAAAAATGAACCACCACCAGTAGGATAACAATCTGAGTGGCTCACACTTAGACAAATCTGAAAATCTGACAAATCTCTCTATGTATATCTCCATCCTTAACATAATTTTGCTTATGGTAGAAGATGGGAACCAGAGCCTAAAGCTTCTGGCAACCAAAAAACAGGTCCTAGGGAATTTGGAAATACTGGGGAAAGCACAGAGATGAAAGAGGTGAGGACACCAATCCCAGGAAACTGTCCAGAATCTTTTGGACTCATTCCTGAGTACAGCAGTCATGGATTTAATTCTGAATATCATAAAAAATTTTGAAGAAGAATGAACTACCACCACTAGGATAACAACCTGAGTGGCTCACACTTGGACAAATCTGGAAATCTGACAAATCTCTCTATCTATATCTCCATCCTGAATATAATTTTGTTAATCATTGTTAGAACAGAAATATTACCATTTCCTAAGACTGAAACAAGACCCAGAGCTGCATGACAGAGTAATCAGATTCCCTAGAATGCAATCTACAATTACTCTGCATATGAAAAAGCATGACAATTCGTGCTGAGGACAGGCAATCACAGTCAATGCTGATGTGTCACAGCATTTGGTACTATCTGACAAGGACTTCACAGCAGCATTAGAAAATACATGTGACTGTGAACACATTTGCAACAAAAGTTAAAATAAAAACTATCAGAAAGGAAATAAAAGAAATAATAACCAAATGAAAAATTCACAACTTTCAACAAAAGGTATTTTACTTTAATGGATTCAATGCAGACAGGACCTGACAGAGGAACTTCAAGGTAGAGTTTCTGAAATTATGCAATCTAACAAAAAAAAGAAAGAAGATTTAGGGGAAGGGAGAACAGAGTTTCAAAGGTAATAAGAATGATTAGAAAAAACTGACATTTATGACACTTCAGTTCCAGGAGGAAAGGAGAAAAATTTGGTAACAAGAAAAATATTAGGTAAAAACTTGTCAACCTGTGAAGCAAATAAAGTCACAAACTAAAAAACAGAACTAATCATAAGTAGGATAATGTTAGGGGCTGGGGAGATGGCTCAGTGGAATAAGCGCTTCCCTGGCAAGCACAAGGGCCTGAGTTC